TGTGATCTTCAGGCAAGCTTTATTTGTTAGATCATAAACAAAATATCACCACAGTTGCAGATGGCTATGATTTGCCATGTGGGCCCTGGGAATTGTACCTGGGTCTTCTAACAAGAATAGCCAGAGCTCTTAACCTCTGTGCCATCTCTCTAACCCCAGTATTTTAAAGTGTGTATATAGTGGCTAGGGAAATGGCCCAGCAGATAAAGGTGCTTGCCGCCAAGTCTGACAACCTAAGTTGAATCCTTGGAACACACATGGTGTAAGGAGAGGACCAACTCCTACATGTATATACCATGGCACCTGAGCGCACATATGTAAATTTGATAGTTTTTTTTCTTTTTCTTTTTTTAAACATAATTTTTTAAATTGATTCTTTGGGAATGTCACATCATGCACACCAGTGTCCCTCATTTCCCCATCCTTCCGTATCCACTCTCCACCATTGTAACCTGCCCTGCAAAAGAAAAGAAAATATTTTAATTTAATTAAAAAAAATCTTGACAGCCTTTCCGGGTAATGACTTTCTCCTCTGTCAGTCACAGCTGTCTCATCTCCATGCTTGTACCACTCCTCCCCTTCATCTCCCCCACATATTCATTCATCGCAGTGAGTGGACCCTCGCTGTACCTGGGGTATCTTCCTGTTGCCCTGTGTCATGGAGGTCCTGCAGTTACGGCTTGCCAGGATGGGCCTCTTCAGGTACTCCAGCAGCACATAGATGGGATAGATGTTGGGGTGAGCCAACTCAAAGCCCTGAATTTGGGCTTTGGTGGTAGCTAAGTTGGTCAGCCAGGTCTCCACACCCCATCCCATGCTGCTGCTGTTGGAGTGACCAGCTCTCCTGTGACCGGCAAGGGCCAGGGCCAGCTTGGACATCAACATGACTTCAGGTGGCAGCCCAGACCACAGACATCCTTGTGGTCTTTGGTGGTAACATGGATGGACCTCAGGCATCAATACAGATCCTAGCTGCAGTAGGGCCATGGACCCAGACATGGCCCTAGGCAGTAGCCAGGCCTGGGTATTACCATGGCCTCAGGTGGCTATGCAGGCTTCTCATATTTGCACATTCCTCACCATTGTAGCATCTCCAGATCCAACTCTCTGCACATTGCATGAACCACTTCTCTTTCTCCTCCATTTCTCCACCATATACTCTATCTTTCCCATCTCATCATAGTGGCACCTGCTGCTCAAGGGTGGGCACTTGAGTGACTTCTGGCCTCCCCAATAGTTTTTTCTTAAATAGGACTTTGTTTTCAGCTTTAAATGAAATAGTATTTACTTTTTTATTCAACATGTTTAGTTTTGAAATTCATCTTTTTGGATTCATATGTGCTTATATAGTTTTAAAATATGTCTTATGTCATCATATCTTTATCCTTAGTTCCTCAGAATTGGTGATCTTTTTATAAACCAACTCTCATTTTGTTCAGTTACTCAGAATTTTACTCTCCTCTATTTTATTTCTGTTCTAATGTTTCTTTTTTATTTTTTTTAATATTTGATTTCTTTTACTAACTTTTTTTTACTCTGTAATTCAGTGTATCAAACTCAGAGCCTTGAACATGCTAGGTAAGTGTCCTTCCACTAAGCAGAGCACTTTTTTTCCTCTCTGTCCTGGAACTTGCTTTGTAGACCAGGCTGCCTCTGCCTCCCAAGTGCTGGGATCAAAGGCGTTGCGCCACCACCAGGCGAGTAGAGCACCTTTTAAACTTGTTATCTTGAGATAGTCTCACTCTGTAGCCCAGGAAGATGTTGAACTTGCTATCCTCTTGCCTCAACCTCCCAAGTAGCTGGGATTTCAGGGTTGTATTTCTCTTAATGTAGGCATTTGCTTCACCTATACACTTCTTCCTTAGTACCCTTTTGTTGTGTTCATTACTTTCGGTATGTTAAATTTTATTTTTGTTGATTTCAATATAATTTCATAGCTTTTTAAAATTTTCTTCTTTTGACTCATGCTCACTGATCAGAAGTATATTGTTTAATTTCTACATCTTCCTAAAGTCCTTAGTTTTCTATTGAATTCCAGTCTCTTTTGTGGTTGGAAAATATGTGATGTCATTTCAGTCTTGTTAGTGTGTGTGTGTGTGTATGTATAGTGAAGGTCCAAGGACAGTTTTGATGAACCAGTTCCCAGGGATGGAATCCAAGTCATCAGGCCCTGGGACAAGTGCTTTTATCTGCTGAGCCATCTTTCTGGCTCTTACTAAATTTGTCAAGATTTGTTTGTGACCTAACACATTTTGGATGTATATATTTCAGAAGAATTAGAGTTCTGCTACTGTTCTATGAGATGTTCTATATATGCCTCTTTAGACTTCCAGATTGTGGGTTGTTAAGGTTTTCTATTTCCTTATTGATCTTCTGTCTGGATATCTTATTGATTTGTTGAAGCTTTGGTATTTCAATCTCCTATTACCATGTTGTTATGTTCTGTCAGTATTCATTTAGAATACGTGTGTTTTCACGTATTCTACAAGCCTTGAACTGATATAAATGCCTCTGTCTTACATGTTAGTTCCACAGTACCTAGGCAATATTGATAATGTTTGCATGTGCTGTGTGTGTGTGTGTGTGTGTGTGTGTGTGTGTGTGTGTGTGTTTTGCTATGTGATGTGATGTGTGCATGTGTGTGTGTGATGCTCTGTATGTGTCATGTGCTGTGTGAGTGTATGAAGTATTGTACATGCTGTGTGTGTGATTTGTGTGTGTGTGTGTGTGTTTAATGTGATATGTGTATGTCATGTGTGCTTGCAGTGTATGGAGATCAGAGGACAACCTTTTGGGAATCAATTCTCTCCTTCCATCTTGGCTTCTGGGGATTGAATTCAGGCTTGCACAGGAAGCACTTTTACCCTCTCAGCCATCTCACCAGCTCAAGATTAATTTCTTTGTAACATAAAATAGTATGTTCAAGTTACAAATTTTTCACTAACAGTAAGGTTTTCTTTTTCTTTTTTCTTCTGATTTCTTTGTGTAGCTTTGTAGACCAGGATGGCCTCAAACACACAGAGATCTGCCTGCCTCAGCCTCCCAAGTGCTGGGATTAAAGGCACAAAACCACCACCCAGCCACAATAAGGTTTTAATGCAAACTGGAAAAATGAGATCTATGTTTGGTGTGCTCTGTTTCTCCTTTTTTCTCTCACCTAGTCTCTGAATTACAATTTTAGTCATATAGTTTTGATAAACTGACAATTTTGTTTAAAAATCACATGAAATCAGTAAACTCAGATATGTCAGTGAGCTCAGCGGCCTTATTTTTCAGACAAGTTTTAACACTACTCTCTTGTGGTGCGAGAGGTTGGACGTTGGATCTTGGAACATGGCAGGCAAACACTACCTCTGAACCTTTCCCCCACCCTTTTCTTACTTTTCATTTTGAGACACAGTCTCACTAAACTGCCTTGTTTGACCTTGAACTCATCCTGTAATCCAGGCAAGCCTTGAACTCATCATCTTCTTGCCTCATCCTCTTTGATATCTAGAATGGAAGGCCTGTATCACCAAACACAAGTGAATGTTTTATTTATAATGTGAAAAAAAGTCTTCAGTGGAAATTTTACACTGACTGCTTCTTTGTTGTTTCTTAGGCTTTTTTCAGTAGACCTCTTCTAATTTAACTGTGCATTGTGCACACGTCTTACCTGAGTAGAGTGAGTTTGGCCAAGATCTTGGGACACTTATCACCTGAAGTTTGGTAGTTGTTGTTATCTCTGAGTCCAGAAATCAAGGATGAAATATTATCTTTGTTTTTAAATTCAAGGAAAATGGTATATCAGTGTGTTAAATTCCATTAAGTATCAGCAATTACGGAGACTTGTCAGACATTTCATCTGGTTTCCTTTACTCTAGAGATGGTATTTTTATCCAGTTCTACACTAGCTATTCTGTAGAGAAATTTAAGTAATTTAATATTGTTCTATACTTCATTGAATTTTTTAAAATATCAATCTTTTCCTACCAATTAAAGATCCATTTTGACCCCTCCATACACACTTGTTCTGAATTTGTCAAGAGGGTTTTCGTACTTTCCAGCTCCTAACACAAGACTTTTATTTGAAAGCAGTTTATATTCAAAAATCAAATTCTAGCAGCCAATTCATGAGACATTTCAAATAAAAAATACTTTCAGATGATGACAGTCCTATAATTATTGTTTTGTTTGGTTTGGTTTTTTGACTTTTTTGAGACAGGGTTTCTCTGTGTCACTCCAGCTATCCTGTAACTCGCTTTGTAGACCACGCTGGTCTAGAACTCACAGGCCTGCCTCTGCCTCTTGAGTGCTGGAATTAAAGGGGAGTGCCATCACTGCCAGTGACAGTCCTGTAGTTTTTAACATAATATAATGTTATAGGGAAATTAAGTTATTGATCAGCCCTAATCATTGAGTAAATAGCACTGATGAGGGATTTGGTTTACATTCTTTTAAATTTTATTTGTAAGAACAATAAATTATCCTAAGAAAATAAATGAAGTTTTGTTCATTATAGAGAATTTCAGTTGGTTTCTTGGTACTTAGTTACATTGTATTAACTAGTCCACAGTGCAGTAGAACTCATGACATTCAAAAATAGTTAAAAAATTATTGTCTCTACACCTGACTTTCGTCTTTTTCATTTACTTAGTTCTTTATTAATTTTTGCTTGTTTGCATTTGCTGTATTTCATTTCCTACCATATTGGAAACAATGCCTAACTCTATGTTCAGATTTTTTAAATAACATATATTCAAGCTATTGATATATTTCCAAGTATTATTCTTGCTTTGTTGCATACATTTTATTGTAGTCCTCTCTCATCCATGTTTTTAAGATTGTTTTAAGGTTGGGCTCGTCACTGACTCTTATTTTTAATCTAACAATACATTAATAGAATGTGTATTCATTATGATACAGGTCGAAATTTGATTTTTATTCTAGCATTTGTAATTTAGAAATAAAGATATTTGTTCAGTTAGCCTGCAGAATTAATTTTCCCCATCTCTTTTTAGCTATTAGAGAAATTAAGAGAACGTTGGGTTTCTACTGGCTTATGGCATAGTTTGGAGTCAGTCAAGACAGTCATTGCAGAACCCCAAAGAGGAGAAAAAACTGATTTTGATGAATTGCTCCAGGTGTACTATGATGCCATCAAGTTCAAAGGAGAGAAAGGTAATTTGTAACACTAAAAATAAAAACTCAGAGACTGATGTTGGGGTTCAGGCTTTCAAACTGAAGATCAGAGAAGCAAAGTAGCCGAGCCACCAGCTCTTACCTCTATCTCAGGCTGAAAGGGCTGTTAGGTCCTCAGCGTGGCTGGAGAATAAATCTCTCCACCAAGCCTCAGACTGCTGCTTCTTCCTTTTATACCTCTCAGATTCTAAGATTCTCAGCACGTGTGATCCCAAGTGCTGAGATCACTTTTGTGTGAGCTGTTTCCCTTTAGGATTGGACTAATTTTATGTAGCTCAGTGGCCTTGAACTAACAGAGATCCATCTGCTTGTTTCTTTGAGTCCTGGGATTAAAAGTGTTTGCCACTAACACCTGGCTCTATGGCTAGCTAGTATGGCTGCTGGGATTAGAAGTGTGTATCACCATTGCCTGACTCTATGGCTTGTGGCTAGCTTTGCTTTCAGTACCCTCAGGCAAGCTTTAATAAATCATAAATATGTATCACCACAGTAATTGGAAATAATTACATGGTCAGTGAAAAGGCTTTTTAAACTGTAAAGCAAGGAGAATTTATTGTTATTAAGATATCATTTTATATTGTCTTTTTAAGTGAATTGTATTTGGGAAAAATTATATTTTATAATCTTAGGTAAATAGAAAGTAGGTTAGATATACTACCTGAAATATTTTGTTCAAGAAGGAAGGCAGGGTAGGTATAAGTATCTTCCTCACTGACCAAATAAGGTGTGTAGATTTTACACACATAATGTAGTTGGTGCTTATAATCTACCAAATAAGATAAACTTAGAGGGTTTTGTTGTTGTTGCTTGTTTTTAGCTTTGTTTTGTTTGTATTGTTTGAAACAGGGTCTCACTATGTAGACCAGGCTGGGTTCAAACTCACAGAGATCCACCTAAGTCTGCCTCTTGAGTTAAACTTAAAAAGCAGCAGTAGTGGTGTTTGACTGTAATCTCAGTACTCAAAAGGAGTGGAGGAGGAGGGTGGTACATTCAGGCCAACCTGGGCTCAGATCCTGTCTCAGACAACAGAGAGTAACTGAGTGCTCGATTTCCACATTTAAAAGTGTTTGAAGCTGGGCTGTGGTGGTGCACATGCCTTTAATTCCAGCACTTGGGAGGCAGAGGCAGGCAGATCTCTGTGAGTTCCAGGCCAGTCTGGTCAGAGGACAGCCTCCAAAGCCACAGAGAAATCCTGCCTTGAAAAACCAGAAAAATAAAAGGGTTTGATGTAGAAGTTCATAGCAGTAATTTAGGAACAATGCAGCAATGAAGACACTGTAACATAGTTGCTAATAAAAATTTAAAGATGTATTTTATAATCTTATGTATATGGTCCTGAGTATATGTGTGCACATGCCATGTCTACAAGTGCCCAAGGAAGTCAGAAGAGGGCATTAAATCCTCTAGAACAAGAGTTACAGGCAGCTTGAGGTACCATGTGAGTGCTAGAAACTGAATCTGAGTTCTCTGCAAAAATAGCAAAATTTAAATACATTTTTAATGCCAATATTATAACCAAGTATGGGAGCCTATAATCTCAGCTTTTGGGGAACAAAGGAGTAGGGGGATTACGAGTTCAAGGCCAGCATGGTTCACATACTGAGATCCTCTTTCAAAACAAACCAGAAACAAACAAAAACTCCAGGCACAACATTGCAGAGGCTGCTGCAGGATTGTTGCAAAATTGTTGCAAAGAGGAGGCTGTATTTGTGCTGGTAAAAGTAATGATTGGATTTCAATTTCTTAGTTAATGCTTGTTCAGTTAATTTGCTGCTGCTTCTGTACTGTGTATAAGTAACCTTTTATTTTGTTTTATTTTATTTTGGTTTTTCTAGACAGGGTTTCTCTGTGTAACAACCCTGGCTGGCTGTTCTGGAACTTGCCTTTGTGTTTTGCAGACCTGGCTGGCCATGAATCCAGATATCTGCCTGCCTCTTCATCCCAAATTCTGGGATTAAAGATAAGCGCCACCATACCTGGCTATAAATAACTTTAAAAATGAACAGTTTGTAAGTTGATTTACTACCGTTTCTATCTAATTTTTTCCTTATTTATTTAAAGATGAGAGTTAAAAACCTGTGTCTCATAAAGTGATCCCTGGTTGCTTTAAATTTACTAAAAATACTTAGGACAAGAATAAGCAATTTCAGACAATTTTGAGTGTGTTTTTTAAAAAACGTTTACTTCCTATTGCTTAAGATGGAGCCCTTCTCATAGCGGTTTGTCGTGGCAAAGTGAGCGAGGGTCTGGATTTCTCAGATGATAATGCCCGTGCTGTCGTAACAGTAGGAATTCCTTTTCCAAATGTGAAAGATCTTCAGGTAAGTCATCAAAGCCTCGAGGAGCTCTATCTGTGTGCTGTATGTAGAGTTAACTCTATGTTTTTCTTCAATCCTCAGATATTTAAATCTCTGGAGAATCTGAATGAACCAGAGTGTTTTAGGAGGAAATGTTTACTTGTAGCATATTGTTTTGTTCAACAAAAGCGATTTTGAAAGTGTAGCCTCTGAGTGGGAGCATCAGTATCACCTGTGAACTTGATGAGAACACAGCAGTTGGTTTTTTTTCTGGTCTCTATCATAATTTTCTGAGTTAGGAACTCAGTGCTGTAGAGGTCCACAATTTGTGTTTCATCAAAGCTCTTAGCAAGATACTCACACATTCCCCTGGGGATTCCAGGGTCCTTTCTTTATCTAGCTCTCTAGCCTCCTGTCTTGTAGATCTCGTGGTTTTAGCCACTCTAAATCCTGTGAGTGTCTTCCACCTGAGCTTAGCAGGACCTCTGCATTGAACTTGTGCTTCAGTGGTGTGTGCTGTAGGCAGAAAACTGTTCACGTCCGACAGGAAGCTGAGAATAGTGGAGTTCACCAAATGATCTCCTCAACAGCCTTGTGTTTGGTGAAAGGATGGGACAAGTTCTCAGCACAGAGGAGATTTATTTGCACTAGAAGGACAGAGGGCAGGGAGTAAGAGACCAAGACAGGAGATACAGTATAAGGGAAAGGAACAATGGAGAGAGGGGAGGAATGTTTGCCCCAGAAGGACAAAGGACTGCCTCTGGTTAGAAAGGAGACAGCCCATAGGCAAAAGGCAGTTTATAAAAGGAAAGAAGGAGCGGGCAGTGGTGGCGTACACCTTTAATCCCAGCACTCAGGATGCAGAGGCAGGCGCATCCCTGTGAGTTGGAGACTAGGCTGTTCTATAAGAGCTAGTTCTAGGACACGCTCTAAAGCTACACAGAGAAACCCTGTCTCGAAAAACAAAAAAACAAAAAGAACAAAAATAACCCAATATCTTTAGGATGAGTTGGTTTGATTGGGCATGTTAATTAGAGTAGTCAAAAGGGGGCTTGCTTTTGATTTCTGGACTTCAAAAGATGAACCTTAGTTGTCAGCCTCAGGAGGAAGTGATCAAATAAGGGAATAGACATTGGTGTTTAGCTTTAGGAATGTAATCTAACAATTTTTAGCAAAGGGAGAGGGATAAGAGACAAACCCTGTTGTTGCCGTGTTTGCCAAGCTTGGGCATCTGCACCTTGAAAATGTTTTCTCTGTTTTGCTCTAATTTTACTGTTTTTCTAAACAGAAGAGTCATTCCTAAAGCAGTTACTTCTTCTAGACGAGCATTCACAACCTATGGGTTACAACCCCTTTGACAATCTTCCATCTACAAAAATATTTACATTACAGTAGCAGTTATTAATAATTACTGTTATAAAGTAGTATTACATTATGAAAATCATTTTATGCTTGGGGATTGATCACCACAACACGAGGAACTGTATTAAAGGGTCACAGCATTGTTTATTCATAGTAAGTGCTAAGGGGATGTGTTAGGTGTCTCCAGAGAAACAGAACCTCCTGAAATGTGCATGTACCCGTTTGTATGTGTGCACATATGGACTTGCATGGGTTTATATTCAGTCAGTTACAGGAGTTAGCTAAAAAGGCGAACCAAGGCTAAATGCAAGCTGATTGCATGGCTCAGTTCAAGAAGCTGAAAGACTTAGACTCACAGGTGTTGATGATGTAGCTCCATCCAAGGTCAAAGGCCATCGATCCCACCCCTCACCCCCAGGATCAGTCCATGCAAGTTCTAGGGTCCAAAGGCCAAAGAACTTGCCATCTGATATCCAAAGGCAACAGTAATGGAAAAATGTATCAGCTTCAGAGGGACAGCTAGAGGGTTTTCTCTCTTTGCCTGTAATTCTTGGTGGCCCACAACTGAACCTCTTCCTCGCTGAATTTGGTGACTCATAAACCAGTATCTGGACATAGGTCAGGCACCCAGAAATAGTGACTTCCTAGGCATCCCTCAAATTACTCAAGTCAGCATCCAAAGTTAGCACCACAGCTGGCACTAGCATCTCTCAGGCAGAGTTTCCTTTTGTTTCCCACAGGCATTTGAAGGTGCTAGCAATGAGAGCAAGACTTGGCATTTCCTAGCCACTGAGCTGGCCCACTGAGTATGATCTGTATCTCTACTCTCAGGGTACAGCCAGTTAAGGTATCAGGCCAAAATAGGAGTTCCTTTTGCAGTATTCACTATTGTTAGTGTGTTAATACGCACTATAAACTATGTATGCTACATTCAGTTCTCTAGGGTAGAGCAATTTGGGGGTAACTAACAATAAATAAACAGGAGTTCTTTAATCAGCTCCTAGTCTTCAGAAAACCTCTGCACTTCTTCAAAATTTCTACATCCTTAGGAGGGTGTGTCATCCAGTCACTCATGATAAAATCTTATAGAGTTTGCTGGCCTTGACAGCCCACAAATACCAGTGTTCCTTTTGCCAGCATGCTAGGCTGTGTCTGCTATTCTGAAATGGCTGGTGTTACCCAGACAACTGTTGTGGGGTGACATATGCTCTGGAACACCCTGTATTCACCATCAACAGCTTTCAAGCTAAATTCTGCAGAAGCCCAGCTCTGCTGTTGGCCCAACGTTGTGGTTGCGTATTGACAGCCTACAGGTGTCTTACCCTGGCCCTGCAGTATTGTAAGAATGCACTTTTGTTACATGCGGACAGCCTCTTTCATCTCATACACTACATATTCCTTTTCTAGCATCTTAAATGTATTTCCCCTTAAACAGAGTCTTTCCATTTTTGCTCATACTCTTCCTAAGTCTTGGACCTTCACACATTTTTCAGAAATGGAAAAGATGACAAACTTCATGGCTAATACTAGGCTATGCTAAGTATTATACTTACAAAGTAGTGAAGCCCAAAAGTATTCATGTCAGACTTAACAATACTCAATCCATTTAAGAAAAGAAAGTAACTATCAAAAGGTACTTTATCCTTTCCCATAATTTTTAGTAAAATAAAAAAGGTTTCAAAAATGCTGAACATGTTTGTTATATTATTTCTTTTTATTTTGTCTACCTTTACTCCAACAAATGTAATTCTTGGCCTTGTTGTTATACAAAACTTGGGTTGTTAATGCTTTCTTTCTCTGTTAGTCAGTTTTCCCTCCCTCCACCCCTCCCTTCCTTCTTCTTGGGTGTGATATGGTGTGTATGCATGTGTGAGTATATGCTCGTGTCTGCATATTCAGGAGCCACAGAAGACATCAGGAGTCTTCTCTATCACTCTCTGCCTTACTTTCTTAAGACAGGGTCTCTCACTGAGCCTGAAGTTCACTGTTTTGGCTGGCTGTCCCCAGAGCTCTAAGGATTCACCTGTCTCCCCCAGCATTTAGGTGTCAGGCATGTGTGGTCATGCCTGACTTTTTGTATGGGTGCGAGGCATTCCAACTCAGGTCTTCTTGTTTGCATAGCAAATGCTTTTACCATCTCCCCAGCTCCAGTTGTATTTTCCTTTTCAACAGTATCAGATGTAAAGGAAATATATTTCACATGGTCATATGTTTGGATCAGTCCTGTGTAACAAATCCAAGCCTAGTGACGTAAAGCAGTAATTATTTATTATAGATCACACATCTACAGAGTGTGGCTCGCCATTTCCACTTACTGAAAAATATTTATTTGTATACCACAATGGAGTATAAAAGAAATAAAAATTTTCACATTTTGGTAAAATCCAGTTAAACTACTTTTTGTTTTAGGAAATTGCTAGCAAATCCAAAGTCATGAAAAGTTTGCCACAAATATTTTCTGTTTTTATGTAAATTTTAAATTTAGACATATGATCCTTGGTGAATAGATTTTTATATCCAATACAAAATAAACATCCAACTTTTTTATATCAAAAGTAAGTCTTTTATAGACAACAAATTGTGATAGAAATATTTTTCCAATTCATCCTGCCAATCTCTGTCCTTCAATTACAGAGCTTAACCCATTTGTATTTAATGTAGTTAATAGTGAGGAAGAACTTGCATTGGCTATTTATTTGTTTTCTGTGTCTGGTGGTTTTATTCTGTAGAACCTTCACTCTTGCCCTTTTTGTGTTCAGTTGCTTGTAGTACACTAGAGGTTGAATGTCCTATATCCAAAATGCTTGGGACTAAAGGTGTTTCATATTTTCAGACTTTACTGTGAGTATCCCTCATCTGAAAACCTGAAATGCTCTGAACACTGAAACTTCCTGGACTCCTTATCAGTTATCATGTTTCAGACTTCAGGGATCCCAGCCTGTATTTTAATCTCCTCCTCCTTCCTTTTGTAGGTTTTAGTCATTTTGTTAATGTTTATGTTGAGAGTTATAACTACACAGAGATTCACCTGCCTCTGTCTCCCAGAGTGCTGGGATTAAAAGTGTGTGCCACCACCCCTGGCTATTACTTTTTAATTTGTCTTTTCTTCTAATTAAAATAAAATTATATCATCTCCTTCCTCCAACCCCTCAAATGCCCCCTCCATCCCTTTTAAACTCATGACCTCATATTCTTTAATTATTATTGTTATATATGTGCACACACATACGTATGCAAGTGTTACCTGAGTCTGTTTAGTGTTATTTGAACCTGTTTTAGGACTGGCCACTTAAGATTGAATAACTATTTTTTTTAAGATTTATTTATTTATTATGTATACAGTGTTCTGGCAGGTAGGTGGTGTGGGCCACCATGTGGATGCTGGGAATTGAACTCAGGACCTCTGGAAGAACAGCCAGTGCTCTTAAGAGATGGCTCAGAGGTTAGAGGACTGAGAACCACTTTAGTTTCTGAGTTGCTGCTGTAGAGCCATCTTGGAGGTCCCCTCACATCATGGCAGTCTATTTTTTCAGGTTTGGTAGGGTGCTTCCTTGTATTAGTCAGATCAGACAGGCTGAGATTAGATCTTGAGATTAACTTCCCTTCCTTTGCCATACAATATCAAGAGAGTGGTTGTCCTATAACCCATACTTCTTGCTATA